CAACTTTTGACACAGCACAAAGTTTACTAACCAGTACAAGGTACCGACTTTGGTTGCAACTTTCAACACAGCACAAAGTTTACTAACCGGTACAAGGTACCGACTTTGGTTGCAACTTTTGACACAGCACAAAGTTTACTAACCGGTACAAGGTACCGACTTTGGTTGCAACTTTTGACACAGCACAAAGTTTACTAACTAGTACAAGGTACCGACTTTGGTTGCCAGGACATCTTTATTTAGCCGTTTGTCAGAGATAGCGAGATTTGGTGCGACACCTACCTACTTCTCGAGAACGACTTCTTGCCCACGAAGCCCACCCACGCTGGAAGACTCTCCTTGTACATGGCATTCAGTATAGCACCAGCATTAGATTCTGCATCATAATTGAACATCATTTTAACAGCCAACTTAAACTCTTCAAAGTTTCCCTCTGGTATCAACGATGTGAGGTTACTAGTTGGATGAACAGCTTCATCTACATGATATATATACAATTAAAAACTAGACACTCAGCATTAATATTTCCTCTTCACATTCAACATCGTTAGTTCCTGTTCTAATTAATATTTCCTAATCTAACCTACACATTCAACATCGTTAGTTCCTGTTCTAATTAATATTTCCTAATCTAACCTAAACACTCAACATCGCTAGTTCCTGTTCTAAACACTCAACATTAAGTTTGTGTGTTACACAATACAATCAGCATTATATATTATTTTTTTTTTTTACATGATTAAGAAAATGTAGAATTTTTGTAAATGAATACATATACCATATATAATGTTATTCTTGTTCTCCTAATATTAAGATAGAAGAAATGCCTACAACAAATATCCATTTAGACACGACAAGAAAATAATACACAAGTTTTAATTACTTCTCACATATACGGCTTCAAGGCATGTACAAACCAATCATGTGTGATACAAGCAGTACAGAACACATCTTCTCCTGGAAGACTTGTGAACTGTTACCGTCTACTTCAGAAACATTACACGATAATTCTTAACTCGAGATTGTTGAAATATTACTGTTTTTATATAGCAGGGAAAAACATTTTACAAAGAAAAAAACAAATAAACTTACCAACATAAACAGACTCTTCACTAAGTTTTTCACAGCTGATTTTAGTTCCTGTCTCTGGTGAGGAACCAAGTTCACAATCTAAAAGAACATTATCAATATCACTAAAATATTGATATGCTTATTTTGAAATGTCTCCAAAAAGACCCAAGAAACCTGAACAATTTTCTAACTACCACTATGTGAAAAAACAACAGTTTTTTTATTTATTTATAAGTTTAAAAACCTACATTTAACTTGTCCAAAAACAGATTTTATAGTTTTCACGTGGCTTGAAAATAAATTAGGCATATTAGATTATTTGTCACAGTTTTCCAAAATGCATTTAAGATTTACGTATGTTAAACAAACGTTATTACAAAATGATATAGTCAATTTTTTCAAGTAATTACCAAGTTTTATACACTTTTCAAAGAATGTGTATGGCACCGTACAAGTCCGAGTAAGATTTTCTCAGTTTACAAACACCAAACAGTAAATCTCATAAATAATTAAGTTGCAAATAAATAGTGTGAAAGCATGAGAATAATCAATTAAATTCTACTAATCAAAATAACAATTAAACATATATATATCGATGTCGATAAAATCAACTTATCTTTCTGCTTATTACCGTTTTCAATTACTCCAACTATCCAAGTTTCATGCGAGAATAATCAATTAAATTCTACTAATCGCCCTGCTCTGTTAATATCGAGAAAACAAAGTTCTGTAGATTTAAACGTACCAGTAAACTCCATACGATTACCACTTGTTGTTTCACTTTTCCAATCAGCACTGTAAACTACTGCATTACAGCCCTTTGCTATCACATTCCCAATCTTGAGGTTTTCAACAGTGGTATCAGGCAGTTCAACATCAACCTCCCTGTTCGTAACTGTACAAGGAAACTGAGAGAAGACATCCTAGAAGAGTGAAAATAAGATTAATTATATATACTGTTGCCAAATATTCAATAAAAACATTTTTTTTCCCATTCGTACATCAGAGGCACGACACTAACTTGCTCAACACTACTCTGAAACAGTTGTGTACTGATAACTGACATTATTCTATTAATAAAAACGACCAAAAAATAACAAAATACAATCTATAAATATTTATTCTTCACTGTGTATACTTAAATCAAATCTACGTCTCATCAACTGATCCTAGCTACTACTTCTAATAACCGCAATCCTACAGATAAAAATTAAAGCTTCAAAATTACTCACCCTTATTTCCCAGCATACACTTTCTAGTTCCTCCTTTTTTGAAAGAAGGGTTGGACCTTTAACAAGTCCCAAGCCCACAAATGCAATAAGTGGAACAGCATCTCTTCCTTGAGACATCTGCCATCTTGCTGCATTTCTTCGTAACTGAGCAGCGAGTGAGTTTGATACACAATTATTAAGAAAGCGCTTTACAAACCCTTCACATTTAAAATACTTTGTCCAAAGACCTTCCCACTGATTTCTGTTGGTACTTTGCAAAACACCTAATTTATTTGAAGTGCTCTTCTCTACAGTTTCTAAAGAACGCGAATTTGTATGACAAAGTTTCTTGCTCTTAGCTCTGCCAATACAACACCGAAGTAATAACCGCCCTTGGGCTAAGGCTCGATCAACAACAGACCTAAATGAAGGTTGGGTATATATCCCATCCCTGGCCTGCTGGGCCAAAAGAGAACTTAAAATATTTTTAGATAATTTCATTTTTGATTACCCAAAAGAAAAGGGAGGCATCATAATACTTTCAATGTTAGTTATTAGCAACTATACCTTGTTTTCAAAATATGTTAAATACGTCTCGAAATTTTTAGGTAACCGAACAAATAGCCTCCCTAACCATATACTCTACTGCGTAGTTATGATTCCCTTGGATTTCCTTCCAGTATCTTAACATTTTTAGCGCCCTCACATAAAAATAAACAAATAAGTATAATAATTTCTAATAATAATAAATTTAATTAATCGTTCTCGTGATTAGTAGCTAATTTTAATTTCTGATTAATTACTAATTTTTTATAATAACAATAATAAATCAATAACTAATTGATAATTAGACTTAGATTATTCTGCAAGTTAATACCACAACAACGCTTGATTTCCAATTGCCACATCCTTACCCTAAATATTTAAAATTCATTACTGTTAAAAGTACATGTTCAAAGAAATAAGTATAAAAAGAAGTCACATAAAGCCTATCATCCTATATCCTTAAAATATTGTTTTGCGAGATGAATTACATCTAGTTTAAGGGAAAACCTGCTATCATTTCCGTTTTAACGCATCGTACTAATCAAAAGAAAGCGTGTTACATAAGATCGTTTTCTAGCTCGTTGTAATAACGCGCACACGGGAAACAAGCTCTCAATAAATACTGTATCTTTATTATACTAGCAGTGACATTTAAATGTTCTTGCTATTACTAGTAAAATACTATGAGGAACGAGAAAAGAAACATAATTATATAAATATAAGAACTTTTTACTAGGTAAATGAAAGAAAGTTTGTTAGCTAATGTAAATAATTCTTCATTTGCTTTGCAAGGGACATGTAAGCATTTAGAATCAAATATAACATATTTCACAACATTCTGAAATAGCTTTCACTTCTTCCACGAATAAAACACATCATATGCAACGTACTGCTGATTTTCACTGTTAAAGGTTTCCGTATTAAATCTAGCATGATTTTCAACAATTAATATTATACACAATGCCTAAGTTTTATAACCAATCATTTAATGTGAACAAAACATGTCCTTAGGCTTAAAGGTACATAGAAATGTTAAAAAGTAATTGAATGGACCAAAAGATATAGCTTGCTTAATGAGAAAGCTAGAAAAGCAATTATCGCCTGACAGAAATGTGGACACTAACCACTTTTACAGTGTTTATAGGATTAACATGTACTCTTGATTTGCCCGAGTATACATTTTAAACTACTTAATTGAATGTTTCATGTTCTTATATTCTACATAATTTTTCATTTATTAACATAAAAACAAATTAACCGAAGATGTTTTTTTTTGTCATATTCCTATTATTATATCCTTTGCGATTCGAAGTTAAAGGGGCGTAAAACAATAGCATTTCAGATATATGTTTTTGTCTTTATCGTTCAATATCATAACTCATGTTGTTTGGACGACAAGAAAAAAATCTGTAGGTTTGTTTGTAATTTAGCATAAAGCTACACAATGGGCTATCTGTGCTCTGCCCATCACGTGTATCGAAACCCGGATTCTAGCGTTGTAATTCCACAGACATGCCGCTGTGCCACTGAGGGGGGGGGAACAAAACTGTAGGAAGCAGTATTTTTAAATGCAATGTAATATTATGAAAGTTACACTTTAAACGTAACGTGGGAAAAACAAACTTAGCAGTTGACTTGTTTATATGACAGGTTTAGGACTATTGGTTTTCCAATATTTCGCACGCTTTAGGAATTTAAACCGTAACTTTTCACCTAGCTTGCTTTTGATATGAAATTAACAAAACGGATAGGAAATGTCTGTCGTTGTCGAGCTATGTCTTCAAACTCACTAGGTGGCCTTGTGTTCAAGTAGCATCACAAGTTAAAATATGAAAGAGTAGATGTGTAATTTAATATCTTGTGCTATCTGAGGGTAAGAGTGTGGAGCCAAAGTTTCCTACTACTACGTGCAAAAAGTATAACTTTGTAAAGGATTTACCAAGTACGATTAAGATGAAAGTTACATTGAACTGATTTTTGATAATTTTCATATTTCACAAGGTGAAAATAAGATAGGCCTAACCTTTTTAACACAGCGAAATACTACACTGGCTTAGGTTACTTAAGCTTAATAATAGAATAAAAATAAGACTAGTGAAAGAAAAACCAATAAAATAACATACACGACGGGCAAGGTGCCTTTGGTCCTTCAATTTTTATTTTTAAGAATTTTTTGAAAAACACCTTTCAGAAAAAGAAATGTACAAATTTTAAACCTGTATTTTTCAAGAACTCACTGGTTTCTCTCAAACTTTTGTTAAACTCCTATAAATATAAGATGCAAGTCTCCACTCCACTATTAGTATTAGCAACTTATTCCATAACTGAAGTTTATCACTGGATTATAAAAATAAAATGTTTTACTGGAGCCTTTTTCTATTTTATTTTAAACTTGTGTCTAATCATCCTATCATCTTTAGGATAAAATATAGTAAAATTAGAGACTTTTGTGATGTTGATTTCTTGGATATTCTTGTAAACCTTGAAAAGATTATTTTTTAGTTTTCTTTTCTAAAAAGAAAAAGAGATATTAACTTCCCTAAATCATCCTAGGACACTAATATTTTTCCTCTGAACCCTTTCTAACAATTCAGTATCCTTTCTTAAAAATTAGATAAGGAGACCAAACAATACACAACTATAAGTGAGGCCTATTATTAGTAATGTACTAATTTGTAAAGTTCATTTGTTTTCTAATTAACTTAAAGCTTCAATTGTAATATCGAGGCTTGATTCAAATAAGTGAAAGTGTTAGAATATTGCTGTATGTTGGCAAGAATGAATTGAAACAAAGTCACTTCAAAGAGTCGAGTATCCATTCTAGCTTACTTATAAAATTGTAAGTTAGCTGTTTCATAGTTGTTGTTGTTTTCTAATACATAACATATTTTATAGATAGTTTTGAGCTTTTAATGTTCCCTGAACGTATTGTTATACAATGTTTTTTTTTTCCATCATTAGATTAGAATGACTGGAACTTTGGCAGATTTGTGTGAAGAGCTTGATAGATTAGTAATTCAGGCTCTAATTTTGATCACAAGGTTTCTTCAGTCTCAACAACAGCTGAATACATTGATAAAGGATGGATTTTTGAACATGTCTAAGGCCCGATATTGTATGGGCAGTCATCGAGTCAGTATACTTCAAGTTGACTTACAAGAATCGGTGGCACAGAAAGTTGTAGCGTACCATGAGGTTCACAGCAACAACTTGCTTTTTAGGCAATATGAACTTATTTCTGACACGCTTGGTGAAACAGAAGATACAACCACGCTGAAATCAGGTGAAAGAAGTGTGACTAAGGTCAGAAAAAGACAAAAACAAGAAAAGTCAATAAAGGAAACGAGAATTACTGAAAATGAGGTAGCGTCTACAGTTCCAGAGTTATTAGAAAGTCAGCCTAAGAGTCTAGAAAATTCAAAAGTTAACAGAAAGAAAGACATAGAACAGGACCCACTCAAATGGTTTGGAGTTCTCGTATCACGCAGTCTTCAACATTGTCAACAGAATTTTCAACAGCTTCTGCTGGTAACAGTTGATATGGCTTCAACACAGAGTGAATTATCTGCTGTTATCAGTAGGTTCAGATCACTTTCGATGGAAAAAATACATTAAAGGAACAAATTATATCAACTGAAGCTTGAGATTAGGTGTAGTAGAAAAGTAATACTATCTAATTAGCTGGATTAGAATAATTTAAAAATTGGAGATTGTTAGATATTCCCTTTGTCAGATATGTGATTTTCCATTCCGATGCTACTTGCATATTTAATAATAGTAAAATGTTTGTAAAAACAGTGAAGATAAAAGTTGCCTCTTGACTGGCTATGGATAGTGATTGTTAATCTTAAATTACAGTTTATGGCAAAATCATACCCACTTGTGCATGAAAAACCTCTTAAAAATTAAGATATTTCTGGCTTTTTTTGAACATCTTTATGCCATGAAAACGTTTCCGTGACTTTTTTTTGCAACTTAAATATTTATTAAAATATATACTGCAAGTGGCAAGTAATTTTTTATTTTTTTGTATAATGCTTGTAATGTGAAAATGAATTATGTAATTGTTTAGTTTTCATAAGTAAATATAACATAACATATAACATAATGTTTTGGGACAACATGGGACCTATTGGACCATCTTAGCTGTTCCATCCTCTAAACTAAATTAAAATAAATTAAAAAAAAATCTTAAAGCCAGCTCTTATCATTCATATACTTATCAA